GTGCGGAACGGGCCAGGGCCGCCATCGGCCGCGTCGAGGCCAACCAGCGCGCGCTCGGAAGCCAGCCGCAACAGCATGACGCTGGCCGAGTCGGCCCTGGGCGACGCCAACGAGCTGCTGCAGCAGGCGCGCGAGACCATGGTCGCCGGCCGGCAATGCGAGCTACTCCGACGCGGAGCGCATGAGCCAGGCCAACAAGCTGCAAGGCATCCGCGACCAACTGCTGTCCATCGCCAACCGCCCTGACGGCTCCGGCGGCTACCTGTTCTCCGGCCAGGGCTCCTCCAGCCCGCCCTTCCTCGACCAGGCGGGCCGGCGTGGCCTATGTCGGCGTCGGCCGGCAGCATCCAGACCGGCAACCTGGACAACTTCCAGCTCAGCATCGACGGCCGGGCGGCCTGGGAGCAGGCGCGCAGCGGCAACGGCACCTTCGTGACCGACCCGGGCACCAACAGCATCACCGGCAACCCGCCGCAAGCCTGGATCGACTCCGGCCGTGTGACGGACCCGACGCTCGTCACCGGCCAGAACTACCGCATCGACATCGCCGGCACCGCGCCGACGCAGACCTACAGCGTCACCAACACCGACACCGGCGCGGGCGTCACGAGCGGCCCGTACAAGTCCGGCCAGGCCATCGTGTTCGACGGCATCAGCGTCGGCGTGACCGGCACGCCGGCCGACGGCGACGTGTTCACGATCGCCCCGGCCACGAATTCGCTCAAGGTGTTCGACGTGCTGGACCGCGCGATCAGCGAGCTCAAGACGCCGCTGCGCAGCAACGCGCAAATCGCCCAGAGCAACACCGGCCGGCTGCGTGACATCGATGCCGTCATGGGCGGCCTGCAAAACGTACGCAGCCAGACCGGCGAGCGGCTGAACAACCTGGATGGCACCGAGACCCGGCTGGCCGCACTGAAGCAGTACAACACCCAGGAGCGCAGCGCGGCCGAAGACATCGACATGGTGCAGGGCATCTCCGACTTCCAGAACCAGCAGACCGGCTACGACACGGCGCTCAAGACCTATGCGATGGTCCAGCGAATGTCGCTGTTCCAGTACATCCAGGGCTGACGGCGGGCCGGTGGCGAAAGACGTCCGGCCGCAGGCGTGAAGCTGTCACGCTTTGGCGCCACGCCGGCCGGGCGGCCGTGGCAGACTGCCGCATTCACCGCCTCCAGCGCTGCGCCATGCCCGACAACACCCCCGACGCCCTCGACCACGCCCTCCTGCCTGGCATC